GTGGATTGTGAGATGCCGCATAGGAGCACGGCCTCAAATATACCCTCTCAAGTGAACATAATTGATACAAATGTGCAAGTTTGGAGCGCAAGTACAGGTTAAGGTGCTGAACTCTTGAGTAGTTTGTGGATAACAGTAATTAGTTCAGGCAGACTTAGGCCGGGCAAAGCGGCAATCTGCTGCTTGTACAAACATAACGTCACACAATGCATTTTAGCTCCAATTTAGTGCACACTTCACATTTTTGTCATGCTCCTAAAGGAGATAAATAACTTCATCTGACCAAATATAGCCCCTAAATATCGAAACTACTCATATTAAAAAAGACAAACCTACTGTATATGACCACTGGAGCTAATCCAGTTGTTCCCGCCCTTGCTTCCTCTGTGTAAATGACAACATGCAATGACGTAATCTACAATTTAATCATAAGACATATGTTTTTCCTCAGGGCTATTTCTCCCATGTGCATGAGTCATCATTAGATTCTCACGAAGAAATAATGAGCCTAATTTCTATACAAATTAGGTTAAATGTCTTTTGGGATATTTAGTAGTGCTTTTTAAGGCAAAGGCTTAAGCTTCGGGATTCATACTTTATAAGTTTTAAACTTTGATACCATTTTGTGCCACAAACTTTAATGACACCTCATATTACATAGTATATGGAGGAGAGGTAAGCTATTAAAAGCTACTAAAGTTTTTAGTGTGTTGGACAGCAACACAAGTGAATGAAAAATTCTATATCGTAATTTTGGAGGGACCCAAGCGATGCTTTCCTAGTCCTTTGTATATATATATATATATATATATATATATATATATATATACGCTTATATTTTTTATTAGAAAAAATAAATAATAAAATATTATGGAGACATGTGTTTTATTATTTATTATGAGAACATTTAATAAATGTATAATGATATAGAAGCCATATCTAGGCACAAAATATCACAGACCTATGGGTTGTGCTGTTTTGGCTAGTAAGCAACCAACTAGTAGCTAATCAAAATACCCTAGCATCCCCCTATCAACAGCCTAAAAAATTAATAATCTAGTATCCATCCATTAATCCACTTTACAGTTTCACAATCATGATCATAATGCTGATTATAAGCTCACGTTTTTCCGCTGTTTATGATCATGCACTTCTTACGGTGATTCAGAAATGTACAGGATTGCATTACACTGGAACAAACAATTCTAAAATGTTTTAACCTTATTACACAGTACATTAACCTAAACCATATGCTGTGTTTCAGGGAAACCAGAACACGAAACAATGCATATGCAACACAAACTAAACAAGTAAAAAGATTCATTTTCTTTCCAGCTTGCTTTCCATTCATGTCCAAGATTTTGCTCAAGAATGTATGTAGAAGCAAAAACAGTACTTTCCCTGTGTGGAGCGATTTCTTGTGTGAGACAGGGAAGAGTGGCTTGACTTTCAGCCTTGTTTGTTGTCCGGCCCAGCACTGGACACATGGGCCGTGTAACTCTAGTCCAGTTGTGACCACACAGGAGAGGTTCTGTACAGAGGGGGTCGGCTCCAGAATGGAGACAGATGGACGGAGGGCAGTTCTCACACAGAGAATGGCCTCCACTGTTCCCGTGCTGGCCGCTGCTCACAAAGATCATTGATTTTGACCACGTTGAGTGAAGAGCTCGCTAATATCTCATTTCAGCACCGTCCTCAGCATGACCATGACACCCGTTCGGAGGTCAGGTCTAAAGAACACCTCGACTGGGGGAATCTGATCACAAACCAGTCTATTTTTCTTTCTGAATATGTAGAGGTCAATGCAATTTTACATTTTCAGAGTTGGCTCTCATCCTCGAGAATGAATATCATACTTTCAACAGATTTTCAGTGTAATGCAGTTCAGGGTTAGAAATGCACTTTTGAAAATGGTACCAGAAGTACTAAAAGATATGCTTATATATATATGCTAAATATAGCCCCTAAATGTCGAAACTACTCATATTAAAAAAGACAAACCTACTCTATATGACCACTGGAGCTATATATATATATATAAGCATATATACTACTAATGTAGTAATTTATTATTTACTGAATGCATATTATTATATTTATTTTTTCACTAATATTTATATAACATACATACATTCAATAACATACATTCAGTAAATAATAAATTGCGTGTGTGTGTAT